TTCCTGTTGTAAAATAAGTTATATTCACCTGATCCCCGGAGTGGGCAGCGGTCCCTCCAGCCAGTCTCCTCCACCACTGCAGCGATGGTATGTCATTTGGCATCATCACATCCCATACACTATTGGACATGATGACTCACAGGACCTTGTACCACTGCAGCAGAAGGGGAGAGACGCTCTAGGGACCACTCTAAGAGCTCCAAGGATCAGGTGGGTATAACTTTTTTTTTGAGCCTAGGCAAAAACGAGCAGTTAACCCTTGCACTGCCGGAGATCTGCTTTAAGCAACACTCGCTGGGTGGATATTCACATATACAGCATATGAAATCATATCATATGACATATTTCCTATACACCTAGTATATTAGTATATTATTATAATTGGTAGTTCTTAGTCCTAAATGTAGGTAAAGAAATACTTACAATACCACTATGTACTCCTTTTAAGCTGTTACGGAATTAATGTTTAGTTTATGCCTCTTTTACACGTTCAACCTTTTATGCCACGCACGTGAGTTCTACTCTTACTGAATACAATATAGGGTCTATTTATCAATGTTTTCACCTATGATTTACACAACTTTCATCCGAGCTACCTTGGGTGAACGTTGTGTGAATCTTGGGTGAAAACAATTTTCAACTAGATATAAAAATGTAACTAAAAGAATTACAGTTTTGTTACATTCTTACCTATTCAGTTCTCACATCCCCAATTTTATTTTTTGTATGTGCAAGTTAGAGCTAATAAAGAAATGCAATGCCAGATCACAGCCATTTGTCCTCACTTGTGACAGGCATTTGTAATAAAATGTAATAGTTCGGCATGGCTGAATTTGGAGTTTGTTCAGTATTAAACTGACCCTTTTGCAAAGCTGACCTTGTGTACTTCTGGAGAAGAAGAGTGGGTTGTACAGCTGGAGAAGGGAAACAGTTATTTGAAATCCTAATAGACACACTAAAATTAGAAATACATTCTAAACATATTTAGACAACATTAGACTTAGGGGTCTATTCACAAAGCTGCCGAGGGCAGCCGAGTGAATGACCGATCAGAAGTGAAGTGAGCCGAACACCGTTCGGCTATTCACTTCAGGCTGGTACGGCTGATTTCAGCCGTATATCGGCTAAAATCAGCCGTACATCGGCTTGCTTCGTGTGGCTTCGAATCAGCCCAACATGCTCAGCATGTTCGGCTGACCCGAAGTGCAGAAGGAGTTCGACTCAGCCGATCCAACATCTGGATCGGCTGATGGTATAATATAAACAGGAGATTTAAAGAGAAAGATTCATGTTTTTGATATTACAAGTACATATTTAGTGCTTTGAGTTTGGGTTTAGATGCACTTTAATTCTAAAAGAT